GTCAGGAACCATTTGTCTTTTGTTCACCATGAACACTGAACAACTGGCACAGTTCTTGCACATTGCAGGCACTCAGTAAACACTGGAGAAATAAGCGTGTGGATGAATGAACTGCACAAAGGGAAAAGGTCAGTAGTGATGTTACTCTCTGAAGTTTGGTAAGAAAAGGAGCAAAGAAGAGTCTTGAGCAGGAGTTTTGGAAAATGGAACTTGTATGTAAAAGTGGAGAGAACTAAAAATGTGATGCTGCAAGGCATTGTATTGAGTGATGCGACAGTCCCATTGCTGCCTCCCCGCCTCTCTCTCCTATGGGCACATAATGCACCTGCCTACATTAACCATACTCCTCTCCTGCTTACGTCACATACCCGGACGTGATGATGACCCATCAAAAACCACCCCATAGTCTCTTCCTGTCCCACCAGCCCACCCTTGGCCCATAAAGGATGCGACCACTTCCTCAATAAATGAGACTTGATTGGACTCAACTTGTCTCCATCTCTCTTTGTCTCCTGCCCTGTTTTATTCATTCTCGTTCCCCCTCCAGGTATATACCCCACGGATTGATCCTCAGGCCGGATCAAGTGGTGCCCAGCATGGGGGCTCCTGGCACAGGGGAGTCAACGAGGGAGCCATTCGAGAACACTGGTTAAAAGTGAAAGCAAATTGAATCAAGGACCGAGGCCTGCACAGACGACCACCCAACATGCTGCCTGAGTCACGGTGAGTAAACGGCAACCCCATCCCCTTTCCCTGACATGGGTCAAGCATTGAGCAAACATGAATTGTTAGTGGGAGGCCTTAGCAAGGCATTAAAGACAAGAGGGGTAAGGGTTAGAACAAAAGAATTATTGCAGTATTTTCAATTTATTCATAAGGTTTGCCTTTGGTTCCCTTTAGAGGGCTCTATTGATGCAAAAAGATGGGAAAGAGTAAGAAATGCATTGAAGGATTACTATCGGGTCTTTGGCCCTGAAAATGTCCCAGCTACAACCTTTGCATACTGGAACCTAATCTCGGAGCTACTTACACAATGCTGCCGAGCCCCTCAGATTGATAAAACAATCATCCAAGGTGAAGCAGCTTTACGTGCTTCCACTTTGCCAACATCGCTCCCTTCAGGAGAGGAATCTAAACCTCTTGCCCTCCAGTGAGTCAAATGATATGTTAAAAAAGCCCCAAGATGGCGGCCTGCCACCATCTGAGCCCCTACCACCTGAGGCCCACCACAACTCTCTATCTAAAATGGCACTTGCCTCACTTCCGCCACAACAGGGTGGGCCCCTCCCCAAAATGGTGTTTCCGGTGACAGAAACAAACGTACCTCCCCAAGATGGCACCACACAGCCGCAAGATGGCGTGGGCGCCATGCCGCTAGCTCCACAAGTCATTAGGACCCATTTGCCATTCACAGTGGCAGCTTTAAAAGAATTAAAGACAGTGGTTGCCCAATATGACCTTACAGCTGCTTTCACTCTTGCTGTTTTAAATTCTCTGGCTGACAGCTGGCTCACACCTACAGATTGACAAAGATTGGCCCGAGTGATTTTATCGGGTAGGGATAATCTTTTGTAAAAATCAGAATATACAAAAAATTGCAAAGAGACCACCAGGCGCAATACACAAGCCAGCAATGGGTGAGACCTTAATATGTTAATAGTGGAAGATGCCTATGCATGCAGAGAAGCTCAAAAGGAGTTTAATCCAGCACCTTTTGCTCAAATTTAAACAGCAGCTACTCGAGCATGGAGAAAGCTGCCTGCAAAAGATAATATGAGCTCCTCTCTCACTAGCATTAAGCAAGGCACAGATAAACCCTTTTCAGAATTTGTCAATCATTTGATTACTGCTGCTAACAGAATCTTTGGCCACGCTGATGCAGGCACTGATTTTATTAAACAGCTAGCTTTAAAAAATGCCAACATTGCCTGCCAGGCCACTATCAGACCTCATAAAAATAAAACAGACCTAACAGGATATATACACCTTTGCTCTGGCATTGGAACTGCTTGTCAGCAAGGCCTTGCTATGGCTGCTGCCTTGCAAGGGTTTAAAGTTCAACAGTTCTTATCTCAAAAACATAAACAAAACTGTTTTACCTGTAGAGAGACTGGTCATTTTACAAAAAAGACTCCAGAGATAGAGATTCCAATGTCAATTACTTTGACTCATTTAACTGATCAGAGTGATATTGGTCTGGTCTCTTGAGTTTAATTTCAGCATATATAAGGATGGGGACAGCTGCTGAGAAAAAAAAAAATGAGATACCACTTTGGTTGTTATTGTCTTCCCCAATGTCAGATCTTAAAAACCTGAGGAGCCTTCATCATCCTGTGGTGGTTTGATTAGTTCTATAATATGCAGTGTGCATGGGGCTGGGGATTTAGCTCAGCGGCATAAGCACTTGCCTTGCAAGCAGGCAGTCGTGAGTTCGATCCCTGGTACCGATAAAAAGGAAAAAGACAAAAAAAAAAATGCAGTGTGCATTTAATGTACATAAAGAGGGGGCCACCCAAAAATATTCTATCTCATGCCTTATTCATCCTTAATTTTTTAAATCTGGGTGCTTCTGGACAGTCAGCAGCCATGCATTTTTGGCATACTGAAACACAAAAACCATTTGCTTCTGTACTATGGAGAGACCCCCTCATTTATGACATGGCCCTGACCCCGTTCTCACATGGGGACGTGGTTCAGTGTACATATACTTCCGCCAAGACAAAGAGGCTAGATGGCTCCCCGAATGCCTCATTAGACAAATTAATGAGCCAAATAATAATAACCCCAAAAAGGCCCAGGAGTAAACACATACCCTGAGGCAACTTCTTGTGCTTCCTTACAGAAAATGCCCAACCGATGGATTACGTGGTGCCTTCTTGAGATCCTCCTTGGACCACCCTTGACCAATGGTGGATTTGGACCTCTTATCACAAATGGCCTCTAATCCCTTCACGCTCTGGGGAGCACTCTTCCCCTACTTAGCGCCCCTCCTGGGGCCCCTAGCTGCCCTGTTGCTTCTCTCTGTGGGTCCTTGTATTTTTCAGAGGATTATGATGCTCATTAATAACTAGATAGATGCATTTATGGCAAAGCCCATTCAGACAGGAGAGCCCATTCAGGTACACTATCACCAGCTGGAGATGGCAGCTCAACAAACCTACTGGGAAGGAATTCCCACGAGTGGCCCATATGACGATGTGGCCTTACCACGCTGAGGCAATGGACAGGCAGCCAGAGATGGGCAACTAGGACATACATGTTACACCACCAGCCGCCTAAGACAGGCACAGAACCAACTGCTGTCCTGCAAGCCCATGACAGGTAAGGCCCGATTGGGTTCATGTAATGAGGTCCATGACCAAAGACAGGTGCTGTCCTCACAGGGCCTGCCATACTCCTGGTTAAATTATACAGAAAGGGAGGAGATGTAGGGAGTGGCACGACAGCCCCATTGCTGCCTCCCCACCTCTCCCTCCTATGGGCACATAATGCGCCTGCCTACATTAACCATAATCCTCTCCTGCTTATGTCACATACCCGGACATGATGATGACCCATCAGAAACCACCCTGTAGTCTCTTCCTGTCCCACCAGCTGTCCTTGGCCCATAAAGGATGTGACCACTTCCTCAATAAACGAGACTTGATTGGACTCCTCAACTTGTCTCCATCTCTCTTTGTCTCCTGCCCTGTTTTATTCATCCCCATTCCCCCTCCAGGTATATACCCCACGGATTGATCTGCGGGTCGGATCAGGCATAAACACAAACAGGAGAGAACAAGCATGGGTACAGTCAGAGGAGGTAGCTTTAAGGAAAGGGGGCATTTCTCCTCTGACTGCGTGAAAAGAGCAATGCTAAAATATAGAACATGGGAGCTGGAAGAGTGCATTTCCAAAGCCTCAACTCTGAACCCATCATAAATCTTACCCTAACCCAATCTGATACCTATGACAAGATATGTTGACAACTATAAATAAGAAACTGGGCAAATCTGCATACATATACATACTGCTTATCATCTCGATTTATGAGGAAGAAACTGGGGGGAATTCCCTGCTCCTGCTGCGGGCCAGCTTTCTATCTTCTGCTTTTTGCTCCTTTAAAAAAAAAAAGGTGACTATGAGGTGGGCATGGTGATACACACTTGTAATCTTCCCAAGAGTAGGGAAGCTGAGGTAGGAGGACTGCTGTGAGTTCAAGTCCAGCCTGGGCTACCCAGTGAGACCCTGTCTCAAAAAGAACTACCACTACCACAAATAAATAAGGTTATGGTAGGTCCAGGGAGAAAAGCAGGTAAGAACACTGGTAAGAGCCAGGTGTGGTGGTGCACACCTACAATCCCAGCAGTTGGGAGGCTGAGACAGAAGGGCAGCCTGGACTATACAGTGAATTCAAAGCCAGCCTGAACTACATAGTGAGAGCCTGTCTGAATCTCAAAAAAAAAAAAAAAAAAAAAAAAAAAAAAAAAAAAAAAAAAAGAGACAAAAAAAGAAAAAAATATCCCTCAAGAATACTAGTAAGAAATTAGTTTACTTTAAATAATTCAGGCTGTCATAGGAAGGGAAATGAAACTAGGAAAGATTAGGGAAGTATCAAGGACTTAGAAAAGTGTAGGGTGTGATTTAGTGGGAGGTTGGGAAGATAAGAAATATAGCTAAAAAAGAGGATTTTAGGATTTAAAATTCAGAGGTAGCAAGAAGCCTAGGTTATAGTCCTTAGAAGTAGGAAAAACAAAAACCTACAACAGACACTAGTGTGTCTAGAACAGAATGCATCTAATAGAGCAAGGAGCTGGAATAGCAATGTGTGCCAGGTGTTAAAGTCCATGAAGAAAGAAGCAACAGTATCCTAGAGGTTGGTAGAAAGTACGGCAAGGCAGGTACCCAACAAACTCAGATTTACTGAGCGGTTACTGACTGAGACTAGGTCTTTTTTGTAAGATACACAGCATTTAAAATTTTTTATTTCTCAATGAAACTGTCAGTATAAAGAAAGTCACTTGGCATCACATTATTCCTTTAATTTTCTCACAGAGAACATTCCATTTACTATGTAGCTCTTGGTCTTCGGGACACGTCCTGAGTAACATATGTGTTATCATGGTGGTTTCAACTGGGCAAAACTTGCTGCCCGTCAGACCTGAATTTAACTTCTCATAGATTTCCAGTGGTAGCCAATGATAAGGTGCTTCGATTCTGCAGATTTCGATTCTTCCATTCTTTATGTCTAGAAACACTTTGATCTCCAGAGGTGTCTGCTCACCTAACACATTAAAGGCAGTGCTGATGCTAAACTTGGGCGTCCTGCCGTATATCCACTCCCAAGTTTGTAGTTCTTTGGCTCTGCTGTTTATCCCAGGAAACAGTGTCTCATCAGTCGGGTTGATGAAGGTGATGTGATGATCAATCTGATGATGAGCAGCATACTCTGCAGCAATGGCATTGATCAGTCCTTCGCAGGTCAGAGTGGGATCTTTTTCCAGAAGGTTCTTTACCATGGCAGGTATGCTCTGAGTGGCATTGCTCTTGATCCCTTGGTACGGGCTCTTCAGCAAAGATGACAAAGAGGTCCTGTCAGTACTACATAACAAGGTACAGTGGTGATAGGCAGTAGTCCTGCCAATCTTCGCAGCTGTTCCTGAGATTTTAAACTGCCCGTCGAGTAACAGGTCAAATCTTTTCGTAGCCTGCACATCCAGCTGGGGTTGGATAGCATTTAGAGCTCTCACTATCAATTTGAGGTTTTCCATTCTATCGTACTTGGTCCTGGTTGTAAAGAAGGTGAGATTGATATTGCCCATGTCATGGTACACGGCTCCTCCTCCGCTTAGCCTCCGAGCCAGTTTCACGCCTCTTTCTCTCATCAGACTCAGGTTACACTCCTGCCAAGGATTCTGGTGTCTCCCGATCACGAGAGAGGGAGTATTCCTCCAAAAGAAAAGAATTGGCTTGCCTTCTAGATTCACATGGTCATGGATCCAGTCTTCTACAGCTAGGTTTTGATAAACATCACTGGAAACAGATTGTAAAATGAGTCCACTCTTTACTGCATTTTTAAAGCCAGCTGCTGGGACCTTGTGAGTACAAAGTAACTGAAAACAATTCTTCATTAAAAATGGGATCAGCATGCCTTGAAAAGTGGAAGACAAACAAATTAATTCAATGAGAAAAGGCAAATTAAATTGTATTTTGTAGCTATTGATAACAGGCTATTTGATCCAGATTTGGGTAAATAGCCAGTTAGATTGTTTTTCTTGCCTTTTAATCTTTAGCAACTCCACAAGAGTGTTCAAAGGAAATAAATGGAGATAAACTTCAAGTAATTTCAGTTAATGTGAAATGATATTTTTGAAACAATAAGCATGCATCAGATAATTACGAAATATATCTCAAAGCCAAACAAAATTTTAATCTGCATGTAATACATAATCATTAAAGAAAAGAAAATAATCCATAATCCCACCCCTTCCAGAGATAACCACATCAATATTTTGGAATGAATAATCCATTTTATTTCTGTGCATGTATATACATTCAGCACGCATTTTCTCCCCAAAAAAGTGTAACTGTACTGTCATTATAGTATTTCATTCTATTTCCTAAAGATAAGGTCTCAGTATTCTGCTCAGGCTGGCTTTGAACTCCTGGGCTCAAGTGATCCTCCTGCCTCAGCCTCCTGAGTAGCTCAGAGTATAGGCAGTGTCATCATTCCAGCTTATTTACAATTCAATCTCTTTTACCTCAGCTTTAATGATTGCAATATTTCATTGTTAATGTGCCAGTCTGCTCAATCTCTTAGTCTCTATTAGCCTATTTCTAGTTTTTCTGTGTTATCAACAATATATTCATGAACATCGCTCCCAAAAGACAGATGACTTTATGAATTAATTATGTCTTTGTCTTAAAAATAATTCCTATTTGACTTTGGGATATATGATTTATCACTAGGATAACTTTTACCTAGGTCAGTATTGAATTAGGATGAACTCTTTTAGATCAGATGGAGAGAAAATCAGAGTATATAGGTTGATACAGAGAGCCTAAGAATAAATTGTTTGGAAAGCTTTACAAATTACACATCAGCAGTGTTAGTGAAATTTAGGTGGCAAAGGTTGAAAATACTATCCATGAAAATGAAGTACTTTGACCACTTAACACCTTTAAGTCATTCCATTTCAATTTTATTTTTTGGCATGCTTCTATTTTCCCTTAGGATAAAGAATTAAGAATAGAGTGGCTTTTTCCTTTTTGTTCTGTTTGGCTTTTTGTGAGGCAGACTCATGTTACATAGGTCAGTCTGGCTTTGAATTTATTATGTAGCCCAGGATGGCTCCTAATTCTTGGCAATCTTTCTGCCTTAGCCTCTTGAGTGTTATTATAGGCACGCACCACCATGCCTAGCTGAGTGGATTTTATTTATTTATTTATTTTTGAGTTCTGGATATGAAACCTGGGGTCCAGGCACTGAACTACCTCCTAGACCTTTTTTTTTTTTTTTTTAAAGACAAGGTCTTGCTAATTTGCTTAGGCTGACCTTAAAACTTTTAATCCTCATGCCTCAGCCTCCCAAAGTGCTGGGACTACAGGTATGTATCAGTATTCCTAACTCAACTGAGTTAAACAGAGTCTATTACTCGGCCAAACTATTTAGCTCAGTAATGCCCTGGAAGTGTAATTCCTAGGTTAAAGAGTCTTTAGATTTTTATCACTATTGACATATTTTATAAATTATATTAAAGAAGAGTTGAGCCAGTTTATACTCTCTCTGTTTAGGAAAGATGTGGAGAGATTTAACAGAAGCAGACTTGAACTTGCATTTGAAATTGGATGGTTTTCCAGGTGGACACTGCTGGCACACGCAAAGGCAGACAGACAGTGGTATCACAGCAACGAATGCTTTGGGGACTCCTTAAGGGACACAGTTGCACTACCAGTGTCCTGGCTCCCCTGAAGCCTACGCCTACACAGTCCTAGGAAGTCCCTACACTCAGACTGCATCTTTGGTTAATTTCTTTGTTTTCAGATCTGTTTGACTGAGTTCCACAAAGCTCTGTATTCATTCGACAAATACTTATGGAGCATGTCGTAGACACAGGTAGTATGGGGACAGGTAAGACAGAAAACAAAATTCATGTACAGTAATATAATACCTTGGCTTGTGAAAGTCTCTGTGGGCAAAGAGTTCAGTTTGAACAGAAGCACTGGGCAAAATTTTGCTTCCTTTTGAAAACTCCACATTGGATGAGGAACATAACCATGGTCATCTCCCCCAGAATCGAGATGAATTAAGACCATAAATCAAGGTACAACTGTCATCTTAAAAACGTCTGGATTCCAAGGGCAGCTGGGATGGATGGACATGAGAAGACGAAGGAGGTAGGCTGTTCCTCCCCTCCCGATAACTTCCACTATCTCTACAATCTAGTGGAAGACACTAAAAAGCAGATACACCAATGATTATATACAGTGTTATAAGTACTGCGATAAAAGCCGTCTCACCCTCTAATGAGTGGAAGTAATGCCAAAGCTCAGACATACCAGGGATACAGAAAGGTATTCCGGTAAGAATCCATGCAAAGAGTTTAATTCCAGGGACAGGAACCAATGAGGGCAGGAACAGGGGCCACAAGCAAGAGGGAGAAAGGGAAAGTATGGGTCAGATTCCCCCTAGGGCAATAAGGAAGGCGCTGAGCTTCAAGCAGCCTGAAGTATGGGTTCATATTAGAGCCACTGGCTAGAGATTTAAGCATGGAGAATCTACAATACTTGGGGCCTGGTGACTGACAGAGAGAGAGAAAAGTCAAGGATTATGTATGTCCTTAAGAGTTTGATGATTATGAACTCAGACCAGAATGCCAGCATTTGAATCTCAACTTTCCTTCCAACAGTTAAATACCTAAAGCAGATTACTGACTTTTCTAGACTGCTTATTTATAATATATGCCTAGTGGCAGGGCTCATCTCATAGGGTCAAGGTTAAATGAGCTAACACAGGTAAGGTCTTACAGGAGTTCCAGGTACAGAGATGATCCTTCCCTCAAGTTAAAGCTCTTACTTTTGTTAGTATATGCAGAATGTAGCAGGATAGCTTACATTTTAAATCCAGCTTGGTGGTACATGTCTCTAATCCCAAAATTTGGGAGGCTGAGGCAAAAGGATCATAAGTTCAACACCAGCCTTAGTTACACATAGAGAGCTTGTCACCAAAAAAAAAAAAAAAAAAAAAAAAAAAAAAAACAGGCTTAGATTTTAATCTTGGCTCTGTCCCTTATCAGTTGACTAACCTTGAGTAAGCTGAATGGTTGAATTAAATGTATTATGCATAAACCGCTTGTATCTATCTGGTCAATGTGAAAAGTGTTGAAATGCTAAATGTTAATACAGGATCCCTCTCTGTGCATTTCTATTTTCCTGTTCATACTGTTCTGGTTATATAATCTCACAAGTACAAGGATTCCTAACCAAGACACACCAAAATGGCATTTTCCTTGATAAATCAGTTGTAGTTCACACTGTACTGTCCACAACCAAGATCATGCTAGGAATTAAGCCAATTCACATATTGATATTACTCATATATCTTAATGGTGCTCAAAATATCTGTGTTATATATAGTGCTAATCAAACACAACAAGGTATTGCATCGTCCTTGGCATTTGGGATTCATCAGTAAGCCAAGTAAATAAAGGTAGTAAGAAAAAAGGAAAAGTAGGGCTTGGAAGAGAGGTTGGAACTATGCATGTGAGTCCCTTTCTTGGTATCTTCCCAAAAGAACGAAAAGCATCATACCACAGTGATACACACATTCCCATGGTCACAGCACAGTCAAGTGTTCTACTTGGAAACAGCCCAAATGCTCTTCAACAGATGAATGAATAAAGTTTTTTTTTTTATACAAGGAGTATTACTTCACCATGAAAAGGATAAACGAGACATTTCTAGGTTTTAAATGGGTGCACCTTAAGGTGAAATAAATCGGACACGCATGTGCAAACACCACATTGTTTCTCTGGTGTAAGAAACTAAACAAGTAAAAAAAATCCGAAATGTCTAACAGATACTGGTAAATAGGAAGAAAATGTTCAAATGGGAAGGGAAACAAAAGAATGGGCAGGAGGTGAGAAAGGGAGGGAAAAAATGGAAACAGCTTTTTGTAAATAGAAGGGGAAGGGCGTGAAGGAAGAGGAGAGGGTTAGGAAAAAAAGAATCAAGATGTATTATGTGCAGACATAAATTCCCTATGATGAAAGTGATCACTAGGCATATCTACAACGTACCAATAAAATTCAAGTATTACTACGAGGACATGGTCTTCATTTCCACATTCCTGGGGACACTCTGCGCTTCCCAACATGCTATTCTACCACCAAAATAATCCCCATTCCATCATCTTTCTAGGCAGGCCCAGCTTTTTTTTTCACCCCCCCCCACCAGTACTAGGAATTGTATCCTGGGGCACTCTGTCACTAAGTCTTACCCTCAAACCTTTCTGAGACAGAGCACTGATGGGGCCTCAAATTTGGAATCTCCATGCCTCGGCCTCCAGACTAGTTAGAACTACAGGTGTGCCTGCCTCCTGCTTCTTCATAAAACCTCATAAAGACTATTTTGCCACCTCCCTGGCAATATCTTATCCGCAATAGCATCGCGGTCACGCGCGTGTTGTTCCCCATCCTTAGCTCTCCGTGAAGGTGCACACCGCTGTTTTAAATTGTTCACCCTCGTACTGGCTCCGGGTCAGCCCTTCCTAAGTGACAAGATCGCGTCCCAGGTGCTGAGGATACAAAGCACAGGGCCTTTACCCCTCACCACGGCGGTCACGAGGTGACCCGCACGTGATTCCCAGGTCCAAGGGCCTCAGTCTCCACCCGCCACACAAACGCGCGCCACGATCTTAGTCGTCCTTCGCCCCGCGGCGCGTCCTAGGGATCTGCTTCCGGTTTCACCCACCTGTTACTTCCGGCCGCGCGGGGCTTGTAGCAGGCTAGTTCTGGGGAAGGTCGCGTGGACCATAAGCAGTAGCAGGCTGCGCACGCAGCCTGTCACGCCCACATTACCCCCCCCCGCCTATGGGCGGAGACTACGGGGCACGCCCCTAGTGGCCCGCCCACTCGCTGCTCCACCCCTGGCTCCGCCCTAGAGGCAAGGGAGGAGGCGTGGCCGAGCGGAGTGTATGCCTCGCCTCGCAGCATCTAGCGCTTTGGAAGGTTTTGGCTGCCCTCCGGGTTTCCCAGTCTTCAGAGCACAAAACCACGTTCGAGGCAGGGACGCAGGCTGCATCAGAATAAAGTACCAATTCCGATGGCGTTCCTTGTGTGATAGTAGAAATAATGGCCGCCCAGTGGCGAAGGTAGGAGAGGACCCAAGGGTAATTACTTTACATTGCTCAAGATTTTGTTAAAACATGTAATAAAGTCTTCTCCACCACCCCCTCTTCTTTCTTTACTTGTATCTCTGCCAGGAGCCTAAAAAGAAAGCCAAAGGAATTTGAGGAGTAAGTTTAAACCTAAAATTCTGGCATAACCATAAGTTCTGGACCTTAATTTAAACAAAAGTATATTATTAGAACTCAGAATAAGTTAGCATACACATACCAAAATGCAACCAAGTACAGTGTGTTGTATAACTCAGATGAGTTCTGCTAGGACAGGTCCCTTCACAGCAAAACTTCACAATCATAAATATGTGCACTGATGCTTAAGATGTGGGTATAGAGGTTGAGGGTTATGGATGTACGACCACATTTCAGTGGGATAATGCTCTTTATTCAGCTATCTATGTAGTTAACCAATCTTTAGGAGAGAATTCCAACTAAGGTCATCAAACACTTGTAACTGAAAGTTTCTTGTATAGTAAGGTACATTAACATGCTCATGTGATAGTTTGAGGTTTATGATTTCCCACAAGTGAATCTTTTTATCTACCTGATCCTCAAATAGTGCTTGCACATGGTAGGTACTCAATAAATGTATTTGAAAAAAAATGAGAATATCAGTAAGACCTATAGTACTCTTGAAGAACACCGTGTAAAATAACAACCCTAGTTATGTTCCTACCATCTTGTTTTGAAGGTCTATATCATCATTGTTTTGGGCTCTTTCCTATCATTATTTGTCTTTTTTGTTTCCTGTTTTCCTAGTAATTTGGTTTTGGTTTGTTTTTCAATAAATGTATTTGAAAAAATGAGAGTATCAGTAAGACCTATATGTATATGGTACCATATACATTCTTTTTACCATGATCAGCATAAAAAGTTTGGATAGAAATGCACCCCAAAGGACGGTATATCAAATTTATCCCTACTGCAGCAATGTTCAGACGTGGGGCTTCTGGGAAGTGACTGGATCATAGGTGTTCTAATATCATCCATGGATTAATCCACTGCTTCAGAATCGGAGAGATGATTAAGATGTGGTAGAACTGTAAAAGGTGGGGCCTAGCTGGAAGTAGGCCACTGGGGCCATTACTCAGAGGAAGACCTTGCCTCCTGCCCCACCCCTCATTCTTGGCTGCCACGTCCTTCTGCCATGATGTTACTGCCTCACCACAGGCCTACAGCCGTGAAGTCAGCCCACCTTGGACTGAAACTTCTGAAACTGTGAGCCTAAATGAACCTTTCCTCCTTCAAGTTACAATTCTTAGGTATTTTGTCACAGCCACAGAAAGCTAATACAATCAGTGAAAAGCACAAGACAGTATTTCTACAACTTGGTAACATGTAAGAAAAGACTTACATACCTCTAAAATAGGACAATGCATACCCTCTTTCAAAATAAATTCCTAATAAAATTAAGTGGTAGAAACGGTGGTCCTACAGAAACATATATAAACTTTATTTAGATTTATCATATGAAACTTATGAAAACAAACATGCAAAAACCAGTATCTCATTTATACTGCATGTATGGGCTTTTTATTACTTTAGACAGAAAATTCTTCTAATCCATTTTATTCTTTCATATTTTTATTATTTTCTTTTCTTTGGCATCAGGAATCAAACTCAGAACCTTGCACTTGCCAGGCAAGGCATTTGTGCTGTTGAGCTATAACTGTAGCTATTTTTACTATTTTCATTTCAATTCAGTCCCTCTTGACAGTTTATAATTGGTTATGTTTCAATTAGTTATATTTAAAAACATTCTTGTAAGGCTTAATATTTCTCTTAAATCAGATCATTCACCTACAAATGAGAAAGGTATATGTTATGACTTATGTCCAGGTGTCCCCCCAAAGCCTCATATAGTTATAGATGGGCCCTTTCCAAAGGTGGCTGGATCTATAATGTGTGATGCTAGGATTAAGGGTGTGTGATCACTAAATCAGTCCACTGATTGATCGGGCACCACCCAAACCCAGTAGCCTGATCCCAGTAGCCCAGATACAATATAAAACAGGAAGAAAGGTGCTGTTAAGATCCCTTGCTTGCTTGCTTTTGCTGACTTCTAAGCCATGAAGTGCTTCTCCTCTGCAATGCCTCTCTGCACTGTGTTGGAGACAGCTGATTGCAGATTGAAACCTCTACACACTGAGCTAAATAAACCTTTTCCCCTTTAACTTGGGTGTTAGGTATTTTGTCTCAGCAATGAGAAAAGTAACCAAGACAGTGTATTAAGGTAAGGATCGCACGGACATGATATAAAACTATGGAAATGCACTTTTAAGTTATAATAGGATGCAAGGTGCCATCTAAGTGGAAGGCAGAAACAGAAAATGTTGCAAGTTTGACCAAATAAACTATGAAATAACAAGAAAGTTTAACAGAGTGGACTAGGAAAATGTTTTAGGATTCTAAGTGAATCTGCTCAGCTGCCTTACATGCCTAATGCAATGATGATCATCACTGTTATAGGTAGTCTTTTAATTCCCTGACACTAATCTTGCACATGCTAAAATCTAGCTCCAAGGTACTATAAATACCATTTAAAAACATCATCAAAAAATCTGATCAGAGCCCTTGTAACTCAAAACCTTGTAATAGCTCTTAGCTTGTGGAAATGCCCCAGGATAATATCCTTTATTTCCCTTATCTTTCTGGGTTTCTCTTTTATCACATTATCTCCATATATTCTATATTTTCAGCTCTCAAACTATGGAACTTTCTGCAATACTTTATGCCTCCTCTTTTTTTGTTCTACTATTTCTTTTGGCCAAATCTTTAGGCCAAATACTTTGCTTGCCTTCTGACATTTGAAAATCCTCTTCATTTAGAAGGATTTAACTCAAATGCTACACCACTCATCTAATTGACTAACAGTTAAATATCTAAACTTCTGAACACTGGGGATGTTCAGACATATTTATATAATACAAGACATATTTATATAATAATATAAAAGAATACCTGTTGAGCTATTACGATAAATCAGAGCTATATAACAATGAAAAATCGTAACATTAAGTCAACAAGGTAGCTGCAAACTGTATTACTGATTGTTAAAATTATGCAAAACAGTACTGCATAGAATTGTAACATGGAGGTGCTTGGGGGAGTGGCAAGAGGCTCATGCGGGACACAACAGAAAGGGGTAGAGCTGAAAAAGAACTTAAGTCACTTAAATAACCATTTATTTCTCCACCTGTGTGGGAAGTACAGAAAACGTTTTTTCCCTTTTTTCTAACAGTTTGCTATTCTACTTTTAAAAAGCATTTATAAGGGTCGCTGAGTTCTTGAAGACACTGCAAACCTGCCACAAACTATGAATTTAAAATTGCATCCATCTCCTAACTCCCCTTTGTTTCTTGTATTGTCAGTATGCACGCTCTACTGCAGGAGGCCTTAAAGGCAGGAATTCCAGAACCCTGTTTTCGGTGTATTACAACGTGATCCTCTTACCCAGAGATCACTCGGTCCCCTCCAGTCCTAAAAGGATGCAACTAGGATTTAAGGAGCCCATGCCTCACGCGACCCTAGACTATCTTTCCTCATCTCCCATGGCTGCCCTCATTGTCCACTGTGACTTCAATTCGCCCCTTCTGCAAAACCAGAACTTGTCTACCCACAATCAACCGTGGAAAGTCTCGCCTTAGCGAACTCCCGTCTACTCCCTTCAGTGGCCGCCTTTCTTCCTTCCCGACCCCACTTCCGGCCTGACATGGATAGCCACACCTCCCCCTGGAAGGGACTGGTAGCGACATTCTACGCATGCGCGAATCCAGGGCGGTAAGTGGATACGCTTTTAAACGCCTCGGTCCGCAAAGTTCTCGCGATGTTTCCTACTGCCGCAGGATTTACTTCAACAAATTGGCGGTAACCGGGTCCCAGTGGCTCTGGCATTCGCACTGGGAAGACTGCAGGGAGCGCTCTGGTATCCACGCTGGAAAGACTGTGGGTAGCTGGTGCAGGGACTGCCGGCCTCCTGCACCCGAGTACTGGCAGGCCTCGTCCCGCCGCCGGCTGCGCGCCCCCCGAGGCGTGCATGGCCTGTGTAGGAGCTCAGTACAAGATACCATTAGCCGGGTTTACTGAGAGCACTGAATTATCTTTAAAAGTCACTCTGGCTGGGGATTTAGCTCAGCGGCATAAGCGCCTGCCTTGCAAGCAGGCAGTCGTGAGTTCGATCCCTGGTACCGATAAAAACGAAAAAAGACAAAAAAAAAAAAAAAAAAAATTCAAAAAATAAAAGTCACTCTAGTCCAGTATGCCAGTCATTGCAGTTAAGTGCATCTCGGTTTAACATTCAACAATCTTGTTGATTTAAAATCTTATTTTAATTTTTAAAAAGACCCAAAAAGGTTAAGTTACAGAAGCGTGAATTTCAGCTCGGAGACTTGCCGCAACTTGGTCCACATTGCTTTTCTTCAAGCAAGTAATTTCATTACGGGGGAAACTGCTTGCCTAGATTTTTAAATTTTGTTCTACATCTCTCCAGGCTGTATTTGGTGAAGAGGAACAGCTTCCAGTGCTCTGCATCTTACCTGGCATACATGAACTCTGGGAAATGAATTTTTCCTTCAGCAAGAAGGCCTACTGCCACAGCACCACAAAGATATCTGAGCTTCTCTGTGTCGTAATTCATGACTGGCACAGCACACAGGATGAAAGATTACTGAGTCAATGTCCAGTTCAAACTCCAAGACCGCCCAGAGGGACTGTCCTTATCAGGGACCTCTCATTGTGAAAGAGTCTCATAAAAACAGCTCTGAGCTTTCTTTATGAATAAAAAGCTTTTGTGGCTTTTTATTGATAGAAGGACAGGGGAAGGTCGGAGTGGTCTGTTACATGGCTGACCTTAGGGCCAATCTAAGTGATAAATTGGAGTATGGGGAGGAGAGGACCAAAGCATTTATTCCTTCATGGCAATGTGTTTTGCTCTTACTTAAACTTGGTGGCCCTGTGGGCTATCTTTGTGTCTAACCATGCATTCCAAGAGACTGGGCGTGTGACTCTGGAAGTCCATAGTCTCTGATACCATTTCATATATACCTCTGGCCAACACCCTCTCGTATCTAGATGAGAATTTTCAAGGACACTGGCTTGGAGTTGATTTTCATTACAATATAATTTTCTTTTATTTTTTCCCCCAGACAGAGCCTCACTATATAGTCCCGGGTGGCTTTGAACTCACTACTGTAGGTAGCTCAGGCTAGCTAGCCTCAGACTCAAGCCATCCCCCTGCCTCAGCTTCCCAAGTACTGGGTTTACAAGTGTGGGCCACTACATCCAGCTTACACTAATAAATTTTTAGTGATTTGGTAACTAGCCCAGTGGTTGTATACCTGCCTAGCAGGCATGAAGCTTGGGTTGTATCTTCAGCACTGGGGGAAAAAAATGTGAACATATCTGTAATCCCAGCTACTTCAGAGGCTCAAGAGGTTTGCAGGTTCAAGGCCAGTTCAAGTGAGTCAGCAGAACCCTGTCTCAAAATTTAAAAACTCAAAATATAGCATATGGTAAACAGCCCCCAAATTTGATAAGCTGTACCATAATACGTGAATGACTATGGCAGGGGACGGAACCTAGTGTGGAGTGTTTTTCTAGAATACACAAACCTCCAGGTTCAGTTCCCAGTTTTTAAAAAAAAAAATTTTAGTTTCAATATTTTGAAGAGTCAGGTTATTGCTTGCTTGGGACAAAGCTTTAACCAATGTACTATGGAAGTCTGTATATATGAATAAAAAATGAAGCAAGCAACATAATTTGAGAATGTTTATTATTTCCATTTCACTGAATATGAAAAGGTAATAAAAATGAGTAACATTTCAAGTATTTTGACTTTATTCTTTTTTTTAAAGAAGTGGTAAGTTAAGGTCTCATTTGTTTTATTAATAGAACTTTTTTTGAGACAAAGTCATGCTATGTCAACTTATTCTTAAAGGTATTCTGGAAATTATGTCCATTTTTATCACTTATAGTAGGCATATATATTAAAATTTTTCTAGATTCATAAACCATTAAGGTTTATCTACCGTAGACAAAATACAGCTAAGATTTTTTAAAAATGCAAAAATATTTATGTTGTATGAAGTTAACTTTAAATATTTTTATAGTATAAGATAGTATTATAGTTAGAAGTTAATTGTCTTAGTATAGTAGTACCTGCCACCAGCCTGAACTACATACAAAGATCATGTCTCAAAGTGCAAACAAGAAAGTAACAACAAAACAACCCCATAATTTACTAGGTAATGCCAGCTGTCATTTAAAAAAAGAAAAAAAAAAAAAAGACCCGAGTTTCAGATAAATATATTTAAATTAGTGCTGTCCTTTTTTTGTTTGTTTGTTTGTTTGTTGTTGTTGTTTGAGACAGGGTCTTACTGCATATTCTAGGCTGACCTTGAACTTACTGTGTAGCCCATGCTGGCCTTGAACTCGCAGTGATACTTCTGCCTCAGCCTCCTAAGTGCTAGGATTTCATGCATGTTACACTAAAGGTTTCAGTGGTTTATCACTCGTAAATGTTTTGGATCATTAGTGACTAGTTTTTTAGGTTTTTCTTGGTTATATATATATATGAAGCGAAGCACTATTCAACAAAGCTCCAAGGTCCGCACCAAGGTCAGTCAGCATGACTGCATTAAATGGTTAATCTGCCAGCTGCAGGACTATGTTGTAAACAGGAAAGCAAACAGGTACAATACAGGAAGTGGGAGAGCTAGCATAAGCCACACACAAGCGCAGGTGCTCTCCCCCACCTAGATTTGGAGATTCCATTATTCACTGTACAGTGGAGGTATGGTGTCTCCGCCAGGACCCAGCCTTCAGTGTGTGATGATGACAGCAGACAAATCTCCCAGACTGCTGGTGTCCCATCCCGTCTGGAGAATTATTCACTCAGTAAACACATAAAAGTTTCAGAGAGGGAAGGCCCACAGAGGTGGCTGCAGCCAGCACTCATTCCAGATGCTGTTGTCCTTAGGCCTGCATTGGGTGACAAACATGACCCCAGTCACCTTACCCACCCTAAGAAGTGCGGTTCCACACCAGCATGCCTCCTAGAAGCTGAGAATATCAGCAAACAGATCCCTAGACTGTGAGCACTGATCCCTACAAACGTCCAGAATCCTAGCTTTTCTGTGAAACTAGAACTCTCAGGCAGAGAGGCAGGAGGGTGGCCACAGCTCTGGACCCACCCCAGTTGCTGCTGTCTGCAGCACAGATAGAAGGACAGGATTGCAGCCTCTGGTTCAGGGCGCTGGGGCATTCCAGAACTAAATAGAACTTCAGAGCCTGGGGAAATTTGGGCCCTGTGAGCAGGGATAGGAAGGTGGAGACAAATAACCTGCATGAGGAAGCCTCCAAGCTAGTTCCAGAGCCCACTGAGATCACAGCAGTGTGAGCAAGCCGAGCAGGAAGTTTGGGAGAAGACAATGGAGTGTTCTGGAAGGTTGTGGCTGGTGGAGGACCTGAGCCTGAAACTTCCTAGAGAGAGCAAGTGTCCTGAAATTCAGCGCACTGAGCAGAACAGAGCTAGAAATCAACGGAGGTTTTTCCTGCTGTCTGACCCACCTGCAGTCTGCACCTACACAGACTTCAGGTCCTCTGTCACTCCCAAAGTATTAGGGGTGCAGCATAAGCGTGTACTCAGTTGCATGTGGGTTTGCATTCTGTTTGAATTTCTGCAGGCATTTGCATGTATCTATTGAGTTCTCTCACTAAGGATGATTTTTTGAGTCTTCCAACACTGGGTTTCTGCAGGCAGAGATAGCTATTTATTAGGTCCAACACACATAAAATTGCTCACTTTTCAGTTATGCTTTTTCCTTCCTTTTTTATTTTTTCTGCCTTCCCATTAACCTCTCAGACCTTCTCTCCTTCTACCCCCCCCCCTTTTCAGGCATAAAAATAATACCATCAAAATCAATTTTCTTGTGTTTCCTTTTCTGTTTTTATTTTATATCTTATTAACTTTTTCCTCCTTCTAGTTCCCAGACAATTTGTCACCACTATTCTTTCATCTTCCTGGGTTGTTGACGAAAATTTTAAATAGGTTTTAAGTAAAGTGTTGACATATGGTTGTTGCTTTGCATGCTGTTATTACAGGAAATAGTTCTGTGATTATGAAGGCAGTGACAAGGACTGAACCCAGCACAGTATTACCTCAGTTCATCAACAGAAACACTCAGCAAAATTTTGCTTCCATTCACAGACTCTGCATCGGGTGACAAATGACCCCAGTCACCTTCCCCACTCTAAAAGGTGGTTGTGGCTTCCTCTTGTTCAGATCGAGGTCACAGACCCATGCACACTTACTGTGAAGCTTTTTAGTACACACAATACTATACAGTGTTATTCAGTCCAGCTTGCCTCCAAAGAAAGGGCAATGAAGGTGGTAAGAATGTGCAGAGCAAGAAAAATAAGAATGATAATCATTGCATAGAAGAAAAAAATCGCAGAAAAGCACGAGCGTGGTGTTCATGTAGCTGATCTGGCCTCAGCAGACAAACTGGTGAAGCTGACAGTCTCAAAATCTGTTTTGAAGGCATCACAGGAGCCATCTGCATAGCAAAAGGAATAACGATGTTAACCAAGCAGAGGACACAAGTGCTGGAAGAGTAGAAAGATTTTTGTCAGTGTAGTTGGATGAGAAACAGCTGGCAGGGACAGCATTAGTGAAGCTGTGATCTGTGAAAAGACCAGGAAACGACAAAAAGATTAACACAAGAAAATGCTCCACGTGCAACAAGTGATAAACTTAAAGCCAGTAGAGGGTGGTTTGCTAAATTCTGCAAGAGAAGTGATGTCTACAGTGTGCTAAGATGTGATGAAGATTCTAGTTCTCACAAGGCTGCAAATAAGAGAACTTTTACAAGGCTATTGTAAACGTTTATGAAGCAAAAAAAGAAAATGACAAAACAGACCATTTCTACCTTGTCATCCCCCCAACCTGGGCCTTTTTTACCTCCTGATCATAGTTCTGACGATGACACTGATGAGAACTTTGAAGGATTTGATAACCAAAACGTTAGCTTGAATATTTTTTGTACAGTTCTTTACATCTTGTGTATATGCTCATGGCTTCTTTCTGTATAACACAGCTTGTTTCTCTCTGACTCTTGGGATTTTTTAATTTTTGTTTTTCTTGGGGTTTTCTTTTGTTTTATTTTTGAGACAAGGTCTAGCTTTGTAGGTCAGGCAGGCTTTGAACTCAGTATGTAGCCCAGGCTGGCCTTATAGTGATCCTCTTGCCCAAACTCCCCAGTGCTGGGATTACAGGCATGTGCACCATGCCGAGCCAGGACATCTTGTTGATACAGTGCTGTAAGTTTTGATGATTGTACCATATGATATAGCACTGTAGTTTTGTGTCGTTTTTTACATTCCACTACTGCATGTAAGAGTTATGCAAATAACAGCAAAGGCATCGAGTTGGAGTTTCCTTTGGCCATTCCTTGTTCTGAATATTGTAATTTACATGCCATGTAGAAGTCCTCATTTAGCAACAAATTCATCTGATGACATTGCCACAGGCCCGTAACTGGGTCCTTAAATGAGGAAGGTCTGTTTGGGACAAGGCCCGGAGTGCCATTTTCCATAGACAAACAGCTAATTTAACAGAAGTGGAGCTCTTTCACACCTTCTATCTGTTTACAATTTTGTGTGAATTATGTTTACGTCATCTAATGGTGTTTGTAAGAGTTAAGATTAGTCAGGATGTTATTTCTGCCCCTCCGGAGGTTCTGACTGGGAAGACAGGGTATAGTAATGTCTCAGCTCCTTTGAGTGGATCCATTTTCACACACGTGGTAGCCACAACCTGAGTTCAAAGTAACTGGACTTCAGGCTAATACTGAAACTAGTTGAAAGGGAAAATCATACTAGCAAAATATTTCTTTTTAAAACTTTGTTCTCTTTGAAGCTACAACATTCTCAGTTCCCTGACCAGGAAGGCTGTTTTGGCCAATGAGGCCACTATCTGGAGTCTGGCAGCTGGAGCAGAACCCTCTCCAGGCTCCTTGATGGGAAGGTACACCCTCCAGATTTTCTCAGAGTCTCCTCAGAGGCTTGGATGGGAGGTTCCTGGTTGATGCTAACAGTCCCCATTGGACACAAAAGAGGGGGAAAGGTTGCATTTAGGTTGGGTCATCAGATAAGTTAAGACCCCCAGGAGCCCCCACCCTGGTAGTCAGGTTATCAGTCTGCTCAGGTGAAGAAGCGCTTGACCATCTCTTGTTGGTTAAGGCTACTCTAAGGGAAGGAGTTGGAATGTTTAACCTCTGAGTGCCTCCTGAATGATTGTGTGAGTGTCTGCAATGGATGGTGAAAGCAGTGAACTGTTTCATCTGTGCTCCATGGTGACAGGACCCTTCAGGATTTCAGAGTTACAGAACTCAAGAGTCAGATTTCTGTAGTCTGATAGTCACATCATACAGCTAAAGGTGACCCAGCCTCTGTAATGAGGGTCTGACTAGGCTCAGGGTTTATACAAGTGCACCAATTGCCAAATGAACTTAAATCCCCATGAAGGGAGTGGCCAGAGCTGATCAGTGCTTGGCTGCTCACCTGAGGAGCACCTACCCTTTGTTGTGTAATTGGTCAAGGGTACACAACATGCACCATAGGGAAATAGAGTGGGTGCAAGTCAAAGTAAACCTTCACAAAAGAGGATTTCCTACTGACTGTGGAGTGTAAATGAAACCTCAGAAACTCCATGCCTTTTGTGAAATTGAATGGCCAAAACTTGGTCCAATCTGAAGGGACACTTGATATTGGAAGTGTCCACCAAGTCTGGAGAAAGTCACAGAGCCCAATGATGAGTGAGACTATCCTGATCAGTTTTCTCATATTGACTCCTGGCTCAACCTGTGTCAGAGCCTCCTACCTTGGTTGTACACCTGTGTCCTGCATGACAAGAAAGCCATCCTGGTCATCAAAACAAATCCAGAACACCACGCAAGAGGCTCTCAAATTCAACCCTAGCCAGAAGAGCTTTATCCTATTCTGCTGCAGGACGTAAGTCTGACCTGCCTCCTCCTTACATTCATCAGCCCCAAGCTACTCAGGCAGCCACCACAGCCTTTGCTGCCTGTTCTGTCTCCAAAGCCACAGCTCCCAGGTTCTGTGATGTTAGGAAAGCCTGATCCTGAAGTGTCCTGCTTATATCAGTGGAAACTGATATAATGGGGCTTCTTGAACCTGACAGCCTAAAACTGATGGCAGATGGTATGCTTTGGCAGCTGACAGATGCACTGACTTCAGACTGTTTGGACACTGGAAAGATCAATCCTCCCGCCATTGTGAGACACAAAGAAAATTGATTGTGTGGGACCATCTCAGCATGTACCTCTTCACTCTCTTTTCAGTGACAACAGCCTTCTGTTCCTCCTGACTTTGCAGCTTCAACAGATCAGGCTCTATTAGACTGGGCCCCTGGTAGCCCACCTTTGTTGCCAGAATTGGGGGAAAACTGTGAGCTTTTTTTCAGCTGAACATTCAGTTGTGACTCAATCTGTTGCTCCCTTAACCTCCTGAAAATCCAAGTCATTACTGCCACTGAAGCCCTGCCTGTGAAGAAATTCTGTCAAAGCAGGTCTTGCACGATTGGTGGACCCTATCAGACATGAATTCTTGTATGTGACCCCATCACACATGAAATCCTTGTATGTGCCTGAGTGCCCTATCCCTCTCCAGTGATGTGACCGCCTTTCCAAGTGGAGAACAATTATTTCTTTGCCTTCTTTGCCACTTGGGTCCTTTGTTCCAGACTTGATATTGACTCTGACTATACCCCAAGAAGAACAGTGGTGCCTACATCAGCCTGAAATGCCTGAGGATCATAACCCTGAAGTTTTGAGAGACTTGTTTCCAGAAATATGGACAGAGGACTCATCCCCTGGACTTGCTATCAGTTATGTCCCTTTGGTGATCAATCTCTGTCCCAATGCAATCCTCATGGCTGCTAAGCAGTACCCAGTGTCATGAGAGGCTCAGGTGTGCAGCCAGCCCCACATCTCTTGCTTGAAACAGTTTGGAATCCTGATAGATTGTCAATTGCCTTGGAACACTCTCTCCTCCTAATGAAACAGTGCAATGGGACTGGTCAATGCGGGACCCCTATGCCATCAACTCACCTACCACAAATCAGCCCTAGATAGGTCCAAACCCTTATACCCTCTTGTTTCTGCTTCTTCCTGAAGTTGCCTAGATCACCTCTCTGGATTTAAATGCTTTCTTCTGTCTATGGGTTACACCTGAGAACCAGCCATATTCACCTGGGAAGACCCAGAGATGAAAAGACCAACTTACCTGGATTCATCTACCACAAGGTTTCAAGAGCTCCCCCCCTCCACATACACACTTTTTGAGGATGCACTTGCTGCTTACCTGCCCCAATTTCCACATGCAGACTTCAGTTGCACTCACATGTAGGATGCTGATGATATGATTTGCAGTTCAAGTCAATCAGACCGCTGGAAGGGAACACAGGTCCTTCACCACCTGCTGGCCACAGGCTATAAACTCTCCTGGAATAAGACTCAAACATATCAGAAAGTGCATTACTTGGGGTTTGACTTGGAAAAAAGTCTCAGGCTCCTGGGCCCAGAAGGAAAAGAAGTCATTCCCTCCATTCCAAAGCCTGAAAATAAAAGACAGCTTAGAAAATTCCTGGGCACTGCAGGTTTCTGTCAAATTGGGATAAAACAAGTGCTATCAGCAGTCCCAGCAGTAGGCACTCCTATGTGAGTAGGCTCTTTCACACACTGGTTTATGAAAGAAGATTCGTAGCACTGGGAGTCCTGAACCCAAAGATCGGCCCTTGGGAGAGGCCCATCACATGTCTGTCAAAGAGCCTAGACTCTGTGGCTAAGGGCTGGTCTGCCTGCCTGCTCTCTGTGCCTGAGAGCACCAGCAGCAACCATCCTTCTGATTAAAGAAGCTGACAAGCTGACCTTAGGACAAAATCTGACACCTCAAGTCCCACATGCTGTCCTGGAATTATTAAATAGTTGGAGACAACACTGACTTTCAAATAGCTGTGTTACTCAATATCCAGGACTGCTTTGTGAAAACCCCCGACTCACTTTTCAGTTGACTAAACCTCTCAGCTCAGCTACCTTGTTGCCTACTGAGCGTGGACGCCCTGACCATGACTGGCTAGCTTTGACTGATGAGCTGCTCGCTAGCCAGCCAGATCTACAGATGGAGCACTTTTCTGATGCTGAGTGGACCCTGTTTACAGATGAAGGGGCTCAGTCAAGGATGGGCAACGTCAGGCTGAATGTGCTGCTGTTACCACAGAGGAGGTGCTCCTAGCTGGACCTCTTCCACAACACTGGTCTGCTCAACAAGCTGAATTATGGGCCTTAATACAAGCTCTTAACTGGGTAAAAGGAAAGAAGGTAACATTTATATTGACTCGAGGTATGCTTTTGCCACTGTTCACATCCACGGAATGCTGTACAAGGAACGTGAACTTCTCACGGCAGAAGGAAAACAAATTACAAACCAGGAGGAAATCGTTCACCTCCTGACTGCAATTTGGAAGCTTAAGAAGGTCACCGCTATCCACCGTAAGGGCCTAAGTTAGCCTCAGTCTGTGCCTCTGTTAATCAGAGATGTCAAATCTGTGCAAGAACTGAGCCCCATCAGGGCCTAAACCCCCACCAGGTATTCAACAAGCTGCACTTTCCCCTTTTAAAGACTTGCAAGTGAACTGTACAGAGAAAAAAACCATGCAGAGGCTATAAATATCACCTGGTGCTTGTCTCTGCTTCTTGTGGATGGCTGAAGGCATTCCTTACTAGAATAAAAAGGCCACTGAGGTTTGAAGAGCACTACTAAGAAAAAGAATTCCCCAGTATGGGCTGCCCCTCACCATAGGCAGGGTCAGTGGGTCTACATTTGTGGCATAAATAACCCGAAAGCTGACTAAAGAGTTAAAAATCGAATGGAATTTACATACAACATACAGGCCACAAAGTTCTGGGAAAGTGGAAAGAATGAATAGACTTTTAAGTCAGTATTAAGTATCACCAAGAAACTCAGTCACCATAGATAGATTTATTTCTCATGGGCTTTCTGTAAGTCTGAAGTTCACCAGGACCCACAAGGTATACACCCTTCAAAATGTTGTGTGGGAGGCCTCCTCCCATAAGTAGAGGTCTCTGGAGAGACCTACATCAGCTAGGTTGTACATCCCTGCAGGAACAATGTGCACAGGAAAAAACGTTTTCTCAGATACACACAAATATAGCTGAAAGATCAACTATACCCACAGACACACCTGCCCATACATATAGCCCTGGGGATGTGGTTTGAATACAAGATTGGAAAAAAGAATCTGTACAGCCCACCTAGAGAGGCCCTTATGTAATTTAGAAATTCAGCTGAAGATACAGCATTCTCAGATCAAACAGGCTCACCCAGGTGATTGCTGGAAGGTCCATCCAGATGAGTCAACTCCCCTGAAAACAGCACTGCAGAGACAACACTCTCCAAGCCTTGCTCTTGTCACTCTGGATGCTGACAGATCGATGCACAGCTGAAGCTTGGAGGACAACATTCACAGAATCACAAGTGTGACCATTTACCCCAGGGCCTCCCGTATGTCCTTGATATGGTGCCCTCCAGCTTGGTTCTTGCTCCTGTCCTCTTCCTGGCTGTGACTTTTGCCTTGGCCTTGTGGACAGTCACCCCAGAATGGTGAAGACAGCCAGTATGCTCTTTACCTTACTCGGTGCATGGTTTGTTGATAGGACTTACTGTTTTAAACTGTGCTCCTCATTTAGAAAAAGCCTAGGCCTGTCAGTTATGACTAAAAAGTGTTTACTGTTACTAGTGTGCCTGCATTTAGTGCTATGGCTTGAATTTTGGCTGTGTTCTGTTTAGCCAAGGAAAATCAAATAGACCCAACCCAAAGCCCTGTTGAGTTTTTCCTGGTAAATACTGACACCTGAAAGATAGTTCAGCCCAAAGTCTGGAATATAGAGGGCCCAGTAACACATGGATTTCATCTTTGCCAAATTATTACTTTTTTGGGGACCTAGAATCAAACTCATGATCTCGTACTTGCCAAGTGCTTGTGCCACTGAGCCAAACCTCTGGCCCCAAATTATTACCACTTTAGACACAAGGTCACCCTCTTACCAGAAAGAGTCCAGGGGACCCCATACAGAATTCAGTCCTGATGGCCTCTGATTTCTATCTGTGCCCTTGAGACAGATATGGACATACAGGCTCAGACCCAGGATGGAATATAACTATCTCTCTTGGAAATATGTGTCCATGGCCTCCTTTCAAGGGGCACCCAATGACACTTGAGAACTTCAGTTTTGGTGTGAAGCAAGGAGAAGCTTAGATTTAGTCTTTTTACAAGGAGGAGTTTTTACTGCCCTAGGAGAAAGCTGCTATTTCTGGAATAGTCCAAGAAGGTCTGCAACAACTGCAAGAGAGATTTGCTGTAGAAACAACACTGAAAAAGATTTTTTTGAGTAAATCCAGGAGGGAGAAATGAAAGGTAAAACCATAGTAGGAAAAACTTCTTTTTTAAGACTTTGTTCTCTTTGAAGCTGCCTAACTCTGTAACTGTTTCATGGCTCTGTAATTGCTTTCACAACCCCTGTAACCATGAAAGCATAACTGAACATGACTGTACCAGGCTTCATGGTCACTAATCTGGTGTTGTGACTGATGGTCATTAACATAGCCTTGTAATTGGTGATCTCACCCTACTAGCTAATCAGAACTGCCAGGCTGTCCTGTCCCACCTTTGTCACCCCTGCTTACGTCTCATCTAAAAATGCTGGCTCACAGACACTCACCTCCTGGCTTTTGTTGGAAATTATTCCAGCCAGGACCACCTGGGAAAAATAAAGCTCTTCACTCCCTCCTATCTTCCCCAGCTCATGGCTTTCTTTTTAGGTGACTTCTGCTGAAATGGTGGAAACTTGAAAAACAAGTCTATAGGTCTATGGAAAATTGATTTTTCGCCACAAAAAATTACTTTGATCATTTTCTAACATGCCAAAAATGAGTGAGCTAGCCAAGAATGGTGGCGGACACCTATAATCCTAGCTGGTCTGTGGCCACAGACCTCCTCCCACTGGAACGGCGGAGAAAGCAGTGGGTGGGATCTGTCAGCAGGTGCAGCCAGGCTTGCGCGACTTTCCTGCCTGACTGATTGCTCATTCGGTCACATGAACTGCAGAGGAGCATAACCTCCCTCGGGTTTCACTTCCTATATTTTCTCCCATTATTCATTTTCTTTCAATTAATACTGACTTAGAGTTAACATTTTTAAGACAAGTAGAACAAGCTGGGAAACAAAGTGTATGAGTATATAAACGACATGATTTAAGCAAACAGAAATAAGTGCAAACCCAAAGGACACTAAAGAATTTTTTTCCTTCTCCCTCGAGTACATTTACTATGTTGTGGCAAAACTGAGTCTGGGAAAGGAGCAACACTCAAGGCAGGCGGCAAGTCAGAGGACGGCCTGAGCAGAATGGTAGACCCTCTCTGAAAAACCACTGAAAAAAAACAGTGTTTGGAAAGAAAGGGAACAAGTTAACTGGTGGGACAAGAAGAAGGTTTTAGGACTATAAGGAAAGTTTCTCAAGCAGGATGTGGTAGCGTATGACTGTAATCCCAACCCTCCAGGAGGCTGAGCCGGAAGGATACTATTTTGAGCCTAGTGACTTTGTTGATTGATTGATTGAGTTTTAATTTTAAAGAGAATACAACAAAGCAGAGCAGAATAAAGCAAGAATAACACAGGATTTCAGAAAAAGACAGCAGGAAATCAACAGTGGCTACCATAATGTCTCTTGTTTTCTTCAAAATAGGTGTCCATACTTTCACACACAATAAGTTAATACACATCAAAATAGTACAAAAGCAATCAAAATACAAGAATGAAGGCCCTAAGGGCTTCAAGAGCAGACACTAGGAAATCAATAATGGCTACTGTAATGTCTCTTGTTTCTTCACAATAGCTGTCCATATCTTCATACATATTGGAATCAAATGATTGAAAACAGACTACAGCCAATCAAAACCAAGAATAAAAGGATTATTGGCTTTTGAACAAAAATGATAGGAAATCATCAATGCCTACCACAGTGTCTGATTTTCTTCAGTGTAGTTGTCCATATTATCGCACATACTAAAATCAATTCTTGTAAATTCTTTAGGTGAAGTTCCAAGTATATATAAGCATAGAAATGTACATCTATCCTTTCTATATTAGAGGGAAAAACAAAACAACAAATAAATAGCTATACATAACTTTCTATATTAGAGGGAAAAACACAACAACAAATAAATAACTATAAAAACAATGACAATGTAGGCTTTCAAAATGACTTTGTTGATTTAAACCCTACCTGAAAATAAACAAGTTTCAAGGGTCTAATACTCTCTGACTTCAATCTCCATTATCATAAAATAAAAAGAAGTTCTATGAATATTTTTGGAAGAAAAAAGTTTGAATCTCATATGTGTGATTTCACTAATATTGACATCCAACATAAGCTAGGTGTGATGGTGCACACGTGTAATCCCAGCACTTGGAAGGCTGAGGCAGGAGGACCAGCTCCAGTTTCAGGCCAGCCTGGACAACATAGTGAGACCCTGTCTCAAAAAAAAAAAAAAAAAGAAAAGCTACAGATGTTGATCAGAGCAAATCTTTGAGTTTGAGACTTTAATTTTCAGTATCACACACAGATACACGTGCATGCAAAAAGTTTGAAACATGCCAAAATCAATAAAAAAATGGACAAAGTATGGGAAGCCATGTTTTTGAAGATACTGAACACCAGTTGGTGAAGGAGAGTGAATTCTGAGTTCTGCATTAGCCCCATTTCCTGCCCTGAGAGCATTTCCAGGCTGTAGCACAGAGAGGGTGAACGCATGCAGCTGGACAGAACCCCTGCAGGAACACACAGAGCCTGGCCAAAGCAAGAGCTTGGTGCTCAAGTTGGCAGCATGGCGCTGGAGAGAGGAGAGTGTGCAGTAATAATTGCGGAGAGAAGGAACAAATTTTTCAAACTTTTGGTAAATTTTGATCACACACGTGAGACCATAGCCTGACCTCAAGTAAAGGACCAGCCAAGTGCATTAGAGGCAGTTGTATTGGCTCAGAGAACGCTAAGAATAATCACTGTCTGTCCCACGAGACAGCCAGAAAACCTCACCACTGACATCAAGGGACCATAGGCAGAAGGGTGGCTGGGGGGGGGGACACAGGGGCAGGGGGTTGAGGACGGGTATGCGGGTGCTGCAAATGATTAACTCTAGGCGGAGTGAGCATCATTCCTGTCTTGCCAAGCAACTGTTTAAAGAAAGACTTTAAAACATCACACCATTTCCAAGGGAAATAACTCAAGCAACTTTATAGCAACACAGTAGCATCTAGAACCCACTAAGGTAAAATTCACAGTATCTGGATTCCACTCAAAAGACACTTTGAGTGGATGCAAGTAAGCAGGAAAATGGAAATTGTCATCAGAAGCAAAAGGACAGATGTTAAAATTCACAGACTTTGTACCGTGTATTTCCTGTGTTCAAAAAGGTAAGTAAAGATATGGAAAATAAAAGCCAATCTAGAGATGAAAACTAAACATATGAAATAGACTGAGATTAACAGCAAATTAGACATTGCACAGAAAGAATCATGAGTTTAAGGCTAAACTGGTAGAAGATAACCAAAATCAAAATAGACAGTGAGCTGTGCACAACTTTATTTTTAAAGCCTCATATTCCAATAATGGCACAAAGCTAGAGCGAACAATATAAAAAATGTTTGAGAAAATGACTGCTAAAACATTTCCAAATGTGAGGGAAACTAAACTCACATTCAAGATCAATGAACCCCAAGAACAAGAAATATGAAGGAAAACCACACCGAGATAAGCAGTCAAATGGTTTCATGGCTTGTAAACAACGTTATAAAGGTTAGGATGACGCTAGATATCTTGCAGGAAACAACTGTACTGAGAATTCAATAATGCAACATTTCAAGCACTGGCAAAAACCCTGTCAATCGAAAATTCTGTGCCCAGAAAAAAGTACCTTTGAAAAGCAAAGACAGATTTACTTTTTGTAGACAAAAGCCAAAAGAATTCCTCACCAGCAGATCTGTAGAAAGAGAAATTAAAAGGAAGTCTTTCAAGCAGGTGGAAATACACTAGCAGCAGACACACTACAGTTTCCAGCCTGCTATTTCACTGCCCACACTTTTCAGAAGTTCAGGGAAAAAAACAAAATAAAAAGTCTGCAGACATTCTCAAGTATGGGGAGGGTGTTAAACTGCCTCCCGTTGAGAGCCATTGACTATGTACATGCCCTAGTTAAAGGCTAGAAATACTCAGATTGGATAAGAAACTGATTATATACTGCCTGTGAGATACATTTTAAAGACCTAAGTAGGCTGAAAGAATGTTAAAAAAAAATATGATGGTAATAATAAAAATGAGACGGGAATGCCAGTGTCTGGATTATTACAGTATGAGCTATGACTAAAATATATAGTAAATGGTAAAATTTATTGCAGTAAAAGACATTGTTATTAATTCCTCTCCAAAGATTCCCCTAGCTTTGAACACACCTATCTTGTCATTCTTGCAGCTTTGTGAATCAATTCAGGACAACCAAGCAGTCGTGACAGTACAATTACAGTGACTTACAGCTAGAGGCACAAATTAGGACTTGCTGGAAGTGGCAAAAATGTTAAGGGGTGGAAGTGCTCGAAGTGAAGATGTTTTGAGGGGCATGAATGGTAACGTGTCCCTCACTGTACTAAATTTTAAAAATTTAAACTTTCATCATAAATTATGACCACGCCTTATAGATTTTGTAGCAAAGAATATTATTGTATCATAGTTACCAAAGATAAGCAAAGCAACTAAAGGAAGGGATAGGAATGGGGAAAAAAGAAAAGCCAGAATATGTCATGCCCAAGTACAAATTCCCTATGA